CTCCAGACACGTATAAGATTCTTGGAATGACTTACCATGCTAAGGATGATACCTTATCCCCATCTATTGAAAATATTTTAAAGTTTTCTACTAAAGCCTCTTTACGCAAACGCCATGCTGCTGGTGTACCGTCTGCACCATTTGATGTTCTTGGTCATGCTGCTCCGGCTGTTACAGAGGCCAAAATTGCGTTTCAACGCTTTAATGACAAACATCCCAATGCTAGTTGGGACGAGAAATTAAATCCAAAAGAGAGTCAACAATTTAAGCAGCTGGCTATTGAATTGGATAAAATTAAGCAAATTGTACAGCCCCGCTTTGTTCGTTTGCCAAATGAAACCAGTGCTGAGATTCACGCTTTTAGTGATGCCAGTAGCTTGGCTATGGGTGTGACCGTCTATTATCTATCTCGGTCTGCACAGGGTGTGCGCATTAGTTTGTTGTGGGGCAAGTCTCGCCTCATTCCCAGTAAGCAACGTCAGTCAATCCGTGAAAAACCGGAGGCCATCAAAATAAATCGTCTTGAGCTTACTGCGGCATGCATAGTTGTGCAATTGGTTGAAGAGATCAAACGTGTGGTTGATCTCAAAGCGTGTCCCGTATTCTTTTGGACAGATTCTGAAACAACTCTGCATTGGATTAACATGGAAAGTCCCCGTGTAGCGTCTTATGTGCGTACTCGGGTTGACATTATTTTGTCTATGTCCCGTAAATGTCAATGGCGTCATGTTCCTGGCGATTGTAACCCTGCCGATTTAGTTTCTCGTGGTTTATCTCCTGCTAAACTGTTACAGTCTCCATTATGGTTTTCTGGTCCTTCCTGGCTTTCTGAACCTCTTGATTGGCCTGTTCGGCTTCGTCTCTGTTATGTTCGTCTTACTTTGCCTACTACTTCTACGTATAATCTTCAATTTTTGCAGCTTAAGGAAACGTTTAAACGAGTGTTTCAGCATAAGCATACTTGGTCTCAGGTTTTAAAACGTGTTTGTGCTATGGCACGTATTCAGCGCTTCTATCATCATCGCTTTTTTGTTCGAGATACACCTTTACGTGTTTCTCAACTTGGTCTTCCGTACCAAACGTTTACGGATCCGTTTCATCCAGATGAGCTTCATGCTGCTGAACTTATGGTCTTTCGCTTACTTCAGAAGTTCTTTTCTCACACTGAATGGTTATTACTCACTAATGGGCAACACATCCCTACACGTCCAGATTTAATATGGGATCCTCACACACACTTGATGCTGCTGAACTTATGGTCTTTCGCTTACTTCAGAAGTTCTTTTCTCACACTGAATGGTTATTACTCACTAATGGGCAACACATCCCTACACGTCCAGATTTAATATGGGATCATCACACACAATTGATTATGTCTAATAGTCGTCAGATGGTTGATGAGCAAACCGATATTCCACATGATCATGTTGCCAGGAAGACACTCATCTATTTACCTGTTCCGCGAAAGAGTGATTCATGTCCGTTGTTAAAGGCCCTATTTAAATCTTATCATGTTAAGTATGGTCATGCTTCTCCTAATCAATTGTTAGCTATGTTGCCAGGAAAACACTCATCTATTTACCTGTTCCGCGAAAGAGTGACTCATGTCCATTGTTAAAGGCCCTATTTAAATATTATCATGTTAAGTATGGCCATGCTTCTCCTAATCAATTGTTAGCGCATCTTTCTTTTGACTTTTGGATTCCTGGTAGTCGTCCTTTAGCCACTGAGGTTCGTCGGGAATGTCTTGTCTGTCGCAGATTTGATTCCAAACCTTTTGCAGTTAAGCAAGCCCCCCTCCCAGATTATCGTTATAAGGCTGTCATTCCTTTTCATCACATTGGTGTTGATTTTGTTGGTCCTTTTAAGACCTTACACTTTGATAAGACTAATCGTAACTTACATAATGCCAAACAGCGTAAGATTCGTGTTAAGGCGTCTAAAGTTATTCGCGTCATCCCGTCTCAAACAGTATCCATCTGTGTTTTTACGTGTACGGTTACACGTGCTATTCATCTTGAACCTGTTAAACGGGTAGACGTTGAACACTTCATTGGTGCTTTTGAAAGTTTTTGTTTTAGTCGTGATACTTGTCCCCTTACTGTGATTTCTGATAATGCTAAGACTTTTCAGGCTACTTGGAGAAAGTTCTTTGCAACCACTTTAAATCAAAAACGTATTAAGCGCCATTTCCCAAAGACTCGGTGGCATTTTAATGCTTCCCGGGCACCTTGGTGGGGTGGAATTTTTGAACGCTTAATGCGTATGATTAAAGATAAATATGCTCGTACTTTTCAGGGTATTCCTTACAGTAATGATAACACTCTTTATGCTTCTGTCAAATATGTTGAGGCTTTAATTAATTCTCGTCCCTTAACATATCAATCTGCTGATCGTAATTCTCCTATGGTAATTTCTCCTTCCATGTTTCTTCATATTCATAAAGCTGATTGGCGATTAAGCCCGTTTTCTTATGGTCCTCAGCCTTTAAAGTTTCTTGAAATAGATAATACTGGTCTGATCGTAATTCTCCTATGGTAATTTCTCCTTCCATGTTTCTTCATATTCATAAAGCTGATTGGCGATTAAGCCCGTTTTCATATGGTCCTCAGCCTTTAAAGTTTCTTGAAATAGATAATACTGGCGAATTTACCAGGGCAGCTCTGTTTCGTTTAAAGATTTTTACTAAATTATGGCTCACTTTTGAGGATGGTTATATCAAAAATTTGCGAAAGTTTACTATGACCCTTGGTAAGCATTCGGCTCTTGAGCCAAAAGAGGGTCAAGTTGCTCTCTTTAATCGTCCTAGTTTTAAAAAAGATTCCCCTTTTGAACGCCTTAAATGGAAGTTATGTCGCATTTTAAATATTTACCGCAGTCCCCGTGATGGTTTAATTAGGTCTGTGGATATTGTTACAGCGTCTCCTACACATGACAATTCTGCGCCATCTGAACCTCTTGTTTTAAAAAATCAATCAATTAAAAATCTTATTCCTCTAGAAATGGATGTTCCTCAACAGGATGGTCTTCTTGACCGTCGTGTCCAGCATTTATCTGCTCTTGTTGAGTACTGTACTGTCAATCAAATTAGCACGTGCTTTGAGTAGCTTTACATCACTTTATTTCGGTCGTAACAAAATTGGTAGCGGATTCAACTCATTTCTTCACGAACACACAATTTGGCAAACAACACAATCGGTAGTTCATTTCTTCACGAACACACAATTTGGCAAAAAACACAATCGGTAGCGCTTCTTGTACTTCGTTCAAATTTACAAATCTTTTTGTCTTGACTCAAAATTTTGTTTATGTCACTTTAGCTTTGACATACTCATTCGAGATCAGTATTCACTGAGATTCACTGACCAAAATAATTTTCAACTTAATGCCTCCGTTTTTCTCATGTCTCTTAGACATACCCGTGACTTAAAACACGCAAGATGTTTTCATAGAAATAAAATTGTCGACCCTCCTTTCCCACAACCCACACACCCGCTTCAGTCATTATCATCACTGATATTGTTACAGCGTCTCCTACACATAACAATTCTGCGCCGTCTGAACCTCTTGTTTTAAAAAATCAATCAATTAAGAATCTTATTCCCCTAGAAATGGATGTTCCTCAACAGGATGGTCTTCTTGGCCGTCGTATCCAGCATTTATCTGCTCTTGTTGAGTATTGTACTGTCAATCAAATTAGCACGCGCTTTGAGTAGCTTTACATCACTTTATTTCGGTCGTAACAAAATTGGTAGCGGATTCAACTCATTTCTTCACGAACACACAATTTGGCAAAAAACACAATCGGTAGCGTCTCTTGTACTTCGTTCAAATTTACAAATCTTTTTGTCTTGACTCAAACTTTTGTTTATGTCACTTTAGCTTTGACATATTCATTTCTTCACGAACACACAATTTGGCAAAAAACACAATCGGTAGCGCCTCTTGTACTTCGTTCAAATTTACAAATCTTTTTGTCTTGACTCAAAATTTTGTTTATGTCACTTTAGCTTTGACATATTCATTCGAGATCAGTATTCACTGAGATTCACTGACCAAAACAATTTTCAACTTAATGCCTTCGTTAAGGAGTACAGGGAAGAATCTGTATGGGCACTGAATTTTGTGCGTTCTACAAAAGTATCTTTATCTTAACAGCTGGGAGGAAAGGGTGTTGGGTGTGTGGGCGAAGTCAGTACTAGTAGTGTTAAGGCAAAATCGGTGATGTCTTCAGTTCCACCAAGCTTCCCACTGCTAGACGATGATATGGTGTTGTTGTATCCGCATTCTTGGCTCGGGGCAAGATTATTTCCAAATTAAATGGTTCTTCTTGTAGAAACCATTCTGATGTTATGAATTTTCTGTAATCGTACATTTTTTCATTAGTCTATATTCTTTCAATTTACACTTTCGTCTCTTACTTGAAAATGTTTCCTTCTGCTCCCGTTGCATCAGGATTCACGTAATACGGCATCATTCATGAAGTCGGTTGCAATCGTCGGGAACCTCACTGTTCGTTCTTCATGTTTGTTTGCTTCATTCCCTGTAAAATTATGAAGTATGCAATTGTTTCAGTCTTTTTTATGGTTTTTCGGGCACCATGTTACAGTAGTTTGTTATTCAAAGACTACTTTTAGCGCCCTCACGGTGGTAATGGCTCCGTAAGCCACAAATTACGATGGTTGGGCCCGCGCTTCTGGCGATTTCTTTTTGAAAGTTTAGCAATTCACGGAGGTGGTCAACACTGGTCTTACCATTCGGATTGCCTGGTTCCTCGTTTTCGGCTTCCACCATTGCATAATTACGATGGTTGGGCCCGCGCTTCTGGCGATTTCTTTTTGAAAGTTTAGCAATTCACGGAGGTGGTCAACACTGGTCTTACCATTCGGATTGCCTGGTTCCTCGTTTTCGGCTTCCACCATTGCAGCGGCGGCGAATACGTTCACCACGTCCATGTTTTCGTCTGGATTTGCCATCACTTTACTCCGAGTGTTGTTTTCGCGAGTTCTCTTTCGGTCTTTTGTTCTCACTGATGTTTTCTCGTATTCTTCGCGCACGCGCAATGTTTTTCTGTGAAAGTTTACAAATTTGTGTTAGTGTTTGGAGAAATTAAGGACTTGATCACTCCTTTGTTTCTTTTGAACACAATTCTTGGGACCTTCTTCGCGAGCTCGGATTTGTCAGGCATCCCTTCAACTGATTCACTTTTCACTCTTTGCACTGATAGATTCCATTTTCCGGCGTACTGTCATGGCGTTTAAGAGCACTTATGTTCCATCAAAGAGCTTGTCACGCTCATTGATGAAACAGGGGGGATTTATGTTGGGCATGTACGCCGGGTACAATAGAATACTTGAATTTTACGAATTAAAATAATATTACCCCCTCCTCAAAATCGCAGTGCCAGGCACATCCTGGTACCGGATGCGCCAAGCACTGTAGCATCTTAATTCCCGTTAAAGTAGGAATTCCAATAAGGAATCCCGGTCCAGTCCCGGACTGATTTATTCGTTTTATTTCCGTTCATTCCAAACACTTGACATCAAGTTATATTGTGGCCCATTTGTGCCCAATAGTCTCGTTTTTGAATGTGTTTGGCTTGGAAATGTTGATTGAGATTTGAGAAGTAGTTGAAAAAATAAAAATAAATAAATAAATAAAAACCGGAAGACACCCCTTATGTCGAGGTTACAGTACTGACGAAACCTTTGAAGAGATTCCCGATATACCCGAGGGAGCTGGTTATCTGTTCGACAATCCATCGCTCAAATATACACTTTGCCAAGTCTTGTCAAATGGTCCACATTCTATAATCTTCAGTTCATGAACTTTATCCCTTATAGCAAAGAACTCAAGGTCTCGTGGGGAGGGAGGAAAAAAAAGGTCAACAAACCGGCGAAAGATTCGCTTTCTTGGATATACTCGAAGAGACGAAAGACTGTTATTTCTTTACATTTCTACATTTTCTCATTATTCCCGTGTCTTTAGCTTCGTAAATTTAAAAAATTTAATTTTTAAAGTTTTTTTTCGAATTTCAAACGTTTTTTACGAGAACAAATTTTGATCAGCCCTCGGAAAGTTGTTCTTCTGAGGCAACCGACTTCCAAAGCGAAATTTTTAAAATTTCCCACTCTCTTTTTTTCTACACACAGGTCATATTTGAAATTGCTTGAAGCAATAAACGCTAAAAATTACAAAAAAGGAAGAAATTTAGTGCCAACAAACGGACCAAGGTCTCGGGGAAAAAAAAGGTCAACAAACCGGCGAAAGATTCGCTTTCTTGGATACTCGAGGAGACGAACGACTGTTATTTCTTTACATTTCGACATTTTCTCATTATTCCCGTGTTTTTTGGTTTCTTAAATTTAAAAAAATTGTATTTTTAAGTTTTTTTTTCGAATTTTAAATGCTCTTTTTTTCGCGAGAAAAAATTTCGATCAGCGCTCGGAAAGTTGTTCTTCAGTGGCTCCCTACTTTCAAAGCAAAATTTTAAAATATCCCTCGCTCTCCTTTTTTCTCCACATGAATCAAATGTGAAGTTTCTTGAGACCCGCGAAAATGCGAAGAAATGCAAAAAAGGAAGAAAATTATTGCTAACGAACAGACCAAAATCTCGGAAAAGGTGAAACGAAATAAAACCCGGCGAAAGATTTTCTTTCGTGGATTCTCGAGAAAAAAAGATGATCAATATTTTCAATTCTTCACCTCATTTCGACATTTTCTCATTATTCCTTTTTTTCCTATTGTATTTATTAACTGTAGCATTTGGAATTTTCTTTGAATTTTGAGGTATTTTTGCGAGGAAAAAAAATATTTTTTTGATCCGCGCTCGGAAAGATTTTCTCAGAAAAAAATTCAGGTCTCTTGCTGTCCTTTTTTTTCTACCCAAAAAGTAAATCTGACATTGCTTGAAACATGAAATTGCGAAGAATTGCAGCAGCAACAACAACAACAAAAAAGGTTGAAAATTTGCTCGTTTGCAAATTGACCTAGGGAGAGAGAAAAAAGGGTAGTTTAGTTCTGCCGTTCCGCTCATAAAAGCCCGTGTGAAAACAACGATTAACCTCATTTCCGTTTTACTATTCCTCTTGTTGAGAACAAGAAAGAAAATAATAATAGTAGGAATATGATAAAAAAAAAGTGGTTCCGGGGGCGAAGGGAAAAATGCGTCTGAGAAGTCTTCCGGTTTTGTTTTGTCTCAGGGTTTTTTTTTGTTTTGTTTGTGGTGTGTATTAATTTATTTATAAACAGTAAATGTGTTTTGTGTGTTGTGTATATTTTTTGGGGGGCAAGAGAACCGATATGTTTCTTGTTTATTTATTTTTTGGCGCCTTTTTAACGTGAGTTTTCGACGCAATTTTCACCCTTTGAGTCTATTTTTGGATTAAGAGGAAAAAAGGAAACATAAATTGTGTGACTGAGGTTCTGTGAAATATTTTTTTTTTATGGAGGACGGCTTTTTTTTCAATCCTGAAGAAATCAGTCCTCAGTGTAATTTTTTTCTGGAAGAAGAGAATCGGAAGTACGATAGACAATTTTTTTTTTCTTTATGAAACTTGATCAAGCCGAAAAATTAGTTGCGAAACAAAAGAAAAGAATCAAGTTTTGAAAACTGAAAAGTTTAAAAGTTATTCTGGATTTTTCAGTCTTCAGTCTCTTCTGGACTTGGATAAAAATTTAGTGACATTTGATAATATAATCTTCACGTTCTTCCGAACATTTTTCCTCGTCTGATCATGTTTTTGGTAGTAAAAAAAAATTGAATGCGTCATTTATCCAGACGATGCTCGTGTAATTCTGGGTTGTTTCGAAAATTTTGGAATCTATTTTCAATGACATTCAATGCCACCTTTTTTGTGCACGGATTTTCGTATTATCATGCAGAAACCGCATTTCTTGTGGTTTTAGGCGAAGAGTCGGAGATATTTCAGGCATCCGAAAGTTTGTCAATTTTCGATCAATTTCGGAATTAAAATTTTGGTGCCTCGTAGAAATATCATGGAATAATGATGAGAAATTTTAGCACTCGGTGAATTTTCCGCGCGATAAACGCGGGATTCTCGAGAAAATGACTCATGCGCCAAATTGTTCATCAAGGACAAAATGTGGATTCAATTGTGTGCTTGACAATGAATGCCAAAATTCCGAAAAGTCTCAACATTTTGAGGGAAAAAAATGCAAATCGTGGAAAATGTGAAACAAAAAGCACAGCTTCTTCCACAGCGAAAAAAATATCACTCTCACGATTCATGAATCATAATTTTAATCAGAATTGAAATCCTCGAAGTGATCTCGGAAAATATTGATGCGTATCGTTTTATGCAATTCTTTGGAATTTCGAAACAGTTGCGATTTTCTTCTCGTTCTTCCTATATGCCTGTTTTTTTTTTATAGGTGGAAGTTTTTGAATCTTCTTCAAATATGCAGCCCCTTTTTGAATCATGTTCAAAGCTAAGGAAATAAACCCTCGAAAAATCACTGATAATTGTAAATAAATCTCCAAAAAACATTAAAAAATACGAGTGCGGAAATTCCTTTTTTTCTTATGATTGAAAATTCAAGTATTCGAGATGTGATGCTTTATTAAATGAAATAAAAATTAATTATATTTTTTCCCCCAGCTGGAAGTCCTGCAACAGGAAACATCGGAGCGAACCCGACTAGGATGATCAATTTGGGCCCATTGCCAGAAGGCTGGGAACAGGCTCGAACCCCGGAAGGAGAGACCTATTTTATAAACCACCGCGAGAAAACCACGTCATGGTTCGACCCCCGGATCCGTAAGTTTCTTCCTCTTTTTTGTTTTTGTTTTTTGCTGTCGTTGACAAAATTGATGAGACTTCAGTTTTGAAATTCGTTTGAAAATGAATCATCCCGGTTTTAATGAAAATAAATTGTCCGCGTTACAAGCTGCCAAAAACGGAGGAGGACGCAGGTGAGTTTTATTGCAAAAAAAAAAAAATTCTCGCGCGCTCGGAAATATTTTTTTTTTATTTTACAAAATTTTTTTTTACTTAACGTTTTGTGCAAATTTATGTCGTAGTTTTTTTTTAAACTATGGTTTGAACCTTGACTGATTCTTTCCTATTTTTATTTCTTCAATTCACGGGGAAGTAAAAAAAAAATTAACGAGGCTAACGGTATAAAAATTAACGATATAAAAGATGTAATTAACGATATTACATTGGAGAGGCGAATAGATTATTTTAAGGATAAAGATGGAAGGTTCACGGAGAATAGCGTAATTTTCATGATTTTTACAGACCTGATTTTCAAATTTTTTTATACTACAGTAATAAAATTTATTTTATGCGATTTAAAGTACGTACGTCGTAGTATTATTAATTTTCTGAACAAAAAAATCCCACGTTCCCCACGCTCATGGATTTTAAACTGAGAAATTGAAAATAAATTTTCCAGCATTCACAAAAAAGGGGAACTTGTCTACCTATTGATAGAAATTTGCGAGACGAGTCTAAAATTTATTTTTCTCTGTCTCTTTTTTTTCAAAATAAATGAATATTAAAATAAAAACAGCCCAGCATTTGCAACGGCCAGCAGTGCTGAACCATTTGCACGGCGCCAGCCCGAGTTGCAACGGCAGTCCTGCCAACGGCGCCGCTAATAACCCAGCCGCCCAAAACAGCGCCGGTCTCCAGCAGCAGCAGCAGCAACAGCAGCAACAACAACAACAGCAGCAGCAGCAGTGTGGGTCGCCGTTGGCGGCGTCCCCGGCCGCCGCCGCCGCCGTCGTCGTCACTGGCCAAATGGACGGGTTGCCCGTGTCCCAACAGAGCCTCCAGGCCCAGGTTCAGCAGAAACTGAGGCTACAGCAACTGCAGCGAGAACGGGATTTCATGCGTCAGCGCACTGAAGAAATCCGTCGCCAGGTTTGAATCTTATACAGATATACAGTATTCTTTTCAAGAGAAGAAAAAATTGAAATTTGGCAAATTGCAATGAAACAAAAATTGGCGAGGAACATGTGTTTTGGTATAGAATAGTTTGGTTGATTATTGTCATTTCAAGCGTAGAAAAAAAGGGTTCAAAATAGGCGGGTTTTTTTTTCAGAAAGCCGTCGCCAGGTTTGAATATTATACGGTATTTCAAGAAAGGAAAAAATTCAAATTTGGCAAATTGTGATGAAACAAAAATTGGCAAGGAACATGTGTTTTGGTATAGAATAGTTAAATTTATTGTCATTTCTTTTTTAGAAAAAAGGGGTTCAAAATAGGCGGATTTTTTTAGAAATCCGTCGCCAGGTTTGAATATTATACAGTATTTATTTTCAAGAAAAGAAAAAAAAATTCGAATTTGGCAAATTGCGATGAAACAAAAATTGGAAAGGAACATGTGTTTTGGTATAGAATAGATTCGTTTATTTTCATTTCAAGCGTAGAAAAAAGGGATTGAAAACAGGCGAATTTTTTTAGAAATCCGTCGCCAGGATTGAATATTTGTTATACTTGAAGACAAAAAAATCAAAATTTAGCAAATTGCAATGAAACAAAAATTGGCAAGAAACATGTGTCCCGCTATAGTTGGGTTTATTGTCATTTCAAGCGTAGAGAAAAGGGATTAAAAATAGGCAAATTTTTTTTAGAAATCCGCCTCCAGGTTTGAATATTATATTTCAAGAAAAAAATGTATCAAATTGATGAAAAAAATTGGCAAGAAACATGTGTTCTTGCATTTTTGGTTTTATTGTCATTTCAGGAAAAAAAGAATTTAAAAATGTTTAGACTTTCTAGTGTTTGTACAATATTATACAGCTAGGAGGATTCTCTCTACAACAGAAAAACAATCGTTCTAGAGAGAATGTTGTTGTAAAAAAATTTCGTTGTAGAGGAAAGTCCACCTATTTAGACAAATTTCTTTCAATTCAAACTCAAAGAAACCCAAAAACATTTTTTAAGGGAGCATTTGCGTTAGGGAAATCAGTACAGTATTTTCATGTTTCATTTTTTTGTGTTTTTCTATAATTTTATATTTTTACTTTTTTTTTCGCAGATGGAGCAGCAGCAATCAAGATTGCGTGTCGATGGATCTGTGTCATCCTCTCAGGTGGGCTTAAATTCCGGGCTTTATTTTGCATTTCCATCTGGTGCTGTTTATATTTGTTTTCCAAATCTGTTATGTTTCCCAGCTGATTTTCAGATGGGTTCTCAAACTCTGGGAGAACATTTTGATTTAATTTTATAGGTAGTAAAGAAAAAAAAACGAATTCAAAATTGTATCTCACGTCGTAATAGCGTTGTGAGCAAGTGTTAAATTAAATTATGTCCAATTAAGTAAATCAACAACAGCAAAAAAATTGCTTCCCACGAATTCTGCTGATTTCAAGCGAAAATAAAAATAAAAAACTCGGAAGTCTTTCAAATGAGTTTCCTCTCAGTACGTAAATTGACGTTTAAGGTTTGGAAATACCCGAACCAAAACTCGAACGCGCAATTTTTCAATTTAATAATTCTTAAAAGAATTCAGAATAAAATATACAAATCTGGATAAATTTCAGACCAACGCGTGGGAAAATCAAGTAAGCATAATGATGATCGTTTTCATGAAAGATTCGAGACTTTAAAAGGTTCTTCAATTTTTTTCTCTCTGATTTTCATGTGATCTTTGATTGAGAGTATAAATTTTTCTTCTTTCGCCGTGTACTGAAAATTTTCAGATTTCAGCAGTCCCTTGAGCTCAACTGTTAGCGTTTTTGCAATTTTTTTCTTTGAATTTATCTTGGTTAAGCTGGGCATTTTTTGAAGCTTTGGGCTATTTTGCAAAAGAAAAATTGCGATTTTGAAAAGAATTTTTTGCTGGCCCCGCAAATCGTGTTGTTTCTCCGCGCGTCAAAATTCTGCAAAAATTCCTCGTCTTTTAAAAAAAATGTTGTGTGTGAATTTTTAAAAGAAAATTCTTTTATTTTTTGAATGTGGTTAATTTTTTTCTTCTGGTTTTTGATTATTACCTAATTTTTTAAATATTCTGGAAATCAGGAGCTTGCGGCGCGGCGGATGGACGCCACGCCGGACCAGCCGAGCTCGTCGTCGCCGCCGGGCGTCGTGAGCTCGTCCGCCGTCCTGGGCACGGACGCCTTCCTGGGCAACACCGGCGCCGTGGGGATCGGGATCGTGGCCGCCACCGGCACCACCAACGTCCATTCGCGGGAAGAAAGCGCCGACTCCGGCCTCGGCCTCAGCACCAACAACTCCTACTCGCTGCCACACACACCCGAGGACTTCCTGGGTGCCAACACCGGCTACGATGAGATGGACTCCACAGGTGAGCGAAACGAAGAAAAAAATATATATTTACTGTATATACATATATATATATACAGTATATGTATTGGACAGAGTTTCGACAAATGGTTAAAAAAATGTTTGCTTGCATATCTCATCATTTGACAGCATTGCAGTTCTCAATTTTGGCACTGTTTTGAATGCTGAATGTATTGCATGAAAAAGTGCACTGGAAATGGCGGAGATTATGTTGAACAGCACTGAAGCGTTGCCAAATGATATGCGAGACCGAAGAAAATTATATTTATTGAAATTCCTTTGGATTTTCTTTCTTCAAAAACTCTCCCAATTTTATAAACAAACCTCTGTATTCATATTCTCTTCAATATCATTTTGCAGGATTTCTTTTCCATGGCTAATCTTGTTGATTATATATATATATATATATATATATATATATATATATATAAGAATTATCTGTGATTCCGGTTTCAGAATTTATGTTCAGTTCGGTCGAAAAGCGACTGGAACCTGACCCAGTTTTCTTCCGTCCTATTCTCCGTGTTTCTTTCGTCTGGTGTCGATGAAGTACCTTATCCAATTATTTGCGCTCATTTTCTGAAAGGTGGGGGGATGAGAAGAAAACAAAATTGAGCAAGAAGTTCCTGTGGAAGTTGGCGTGCTAAAAAAAAAAAAAGTTGCGGGGAAAAGAAATGAAAGGCAAATTCCCACGTTTCGTGCGCGTGTTTCCAGATTTTCGCGCTGCATCTTCACGGGAAGTACTGGTTTGGAACCCAGTTCTTTTATTTTGGTTACACAGTACTGAGGTACTTTTGTGGATAAAGAAAAAATGGAATGTCTGAAGAAGGTGGTTTCGTGGATCGAGGTTGTTTCCAGCCGATTATTTGGTTCGAAGAATCCGGGGTTTATTTATTTTGCTGAAGGAAGATTAGCAACAAAAAAAAACTGCTGGGTTCTGATTCGAAAAATTTGAATCCTCGTGTTTTAGAAATGGCTCTACTTTGAGAAGGATATGTTCACACGCTTTTTTCCCCAAGGATTCTACAGGGTTGTCCCCAAAAAAGAAACAATTTTGACATACCTCTTGACCTTTTTTTTAATCCGCGAAAGAATTGAGATTCAAAATTTTAATGTTAGTTTGAGATTTTTTTTTGAAATTTGATCGGTGAAATACGAACGGAAATATCTGTTTTTTTTTTCAATTCGGAAAGAGCACGTTGTTAAAATATCTGCTTTCTTTAAAATGATTGAAATGTTTTATAGTGAGCTTGTCCTTGTTTCTCGCGCCTTTTAATGACTTGCCAGATGGGAATCTTGTAAAAATATATTTCAGAATTTTTCGATGACTTTTAACGACTTTTTTTTTATGGGAAAGCAAAAGACAAAAACCATTCTTGGCAGCAGTTTTCAGAGTTTCTGCCTTGGTTCAAGTTTGCATTTACTGTATTTATGACTTGCAAACTCGTATTTATTTTTTCTTTTGTGTTTAATACCTTTGGACATGAATTTATACTTTTTTCATGTGAATATTTTGAAATGCTGTTTTTTTTCAAGGAATTTAAGCCACTATCTGAAACACACACACACACACAAAAACATGCATAGCAGCAGTTGTTGGAAATTAGAAATACAAATTAGAGAAAAGACATTTTGTTCAAACTCCTGAAAGAAACTGAATTCTTCATGAATTCCATGGGACCAAGTTTGACCTCAAGTTCCCAAAAGGTTTTTGAATATCTTTGGGATTTCCTTGTCCTGAAGGATGAAATTTCACCAAGAGAAGAATTCTTAAATTATCGAAAATCATTGATTTTGGTATCCATTGCTTTTTGGCAGTCTCACACAAAAGACATTAGAACTCTTGTTTGCAATTGATATGTTTTTAAATCCTTACTTTTTGTCAAATATGCCAACCTTACACTAGGGTGTCAAGCACCCCGGCTATAGCCCGGTTGATTGCTGTATTCTTTATTTAAAAAGTGATTCAAAACCCTTTCAGTCTCAACAGGAGTGAAGCAGAATATAGATTTATTTCAGGTTGAGAGGAAATCAACTTTGCCTTTATCTATTCATTGAAAATTTGCATTTATTTTCTCTTGTTTATTTGGGACAAATGTCTCCTCAATATACAGTGAGACCCCAAGATGTGGACGTAATTGGTGCATCAAGAGTGTCCCTGTCCCTGAGTTGAGTCTTGTTTTCCTATAGACTTACATTATATAATTTTTAATTGGTGTTTTGTGGAAGAAATATTCTTTCAAGATGTGGACGTAATTGGTGCATCAAGAGTGTCCCTGAGTTGAGTCTTGTTTTCCTATAGACTTACATTATATAATTTTTAATTGGTGTTTTGTGGAAGAAATATTCTTCAGAATTCCTGGAAAAAAGTTGTTTGCCAATTGAATTTGAATTAGTGAATACATTTTCAAGTCAATAAGAACAATTGGAGCATTGAATATTGTATCTCTGTACTGTACTTTGAAATTTTGGCATCTACAAAAATAACATTCAAGTAAAAAAAGTAGAGTTCCCTCTATGCTGGATATAATTTTTAAATTAGCTAAAGGAATGGTAATTTGGTGAGAGAAGTGCCCAAGAACTTTTCTTACAATTTTAGCGTTGAAAATATCTGTTTCTTGTAATTTGGCCTGAAATGTATTTGCAATTTTACAACAAAATGTCCCCATGTTGAGTCAGTGTCATCATGTTGGGCCTTATTTATTGATTTTTTTCTGGTCCCTTTGTCAAATTGTCCGCAGGTCAAGGCGTCCGCACGTGGGGGTCTCACTGTAATATGATGTTGAGTGTCAAATATAATGAAACACAAACAATCAGTCTGGGACAGGACCAGGAACTCCTTGTAGGAATTTCCTACTTTAAAGGGGTAATTGTATTTCACAGAGTAAACTTGAATAACAGCAACAACTCAGCAAACTCAACTTGCAGGAATAAGTGAATAACTTGAATAACACAGCTGAACTGACAATGAACATAAAAAGAGGAGCTTCTTATATACCCTACTAATTATATTCAACCTTCAATAGGTTTTACTTCCTAATCAGGTCAAGAAACACATGATCAAGGACACAATCCATCCTGGCAGGGCAATTTAATGAAAAGTAACGTACTTCTTACTTCTAGGAATTAAGATTATATATGACATATTTAAATTATGTGGCTTGCTTGCCAACATTGTTGAAGAAAACTGTATATTATTTCCAACAATTGCAGCCATAATTCCTCATCACTTATTCATGATAATCAAAATTTGTTGTCAGGATAAACCAACTTTCTTGTACTAATACCTGTCTCAGGACGACAGGGGAAAAAAAGGTGCTGCATAATTTATTGACGACTCACAGGAAAGAATGACTGACGGAGACATTACCCATAATTTATCCAGTACGAGCTCCAGGTTTATGATAATATTCTTTTTCTTTTTATTTCCTTAAATTGACAGGCAATAAAAACAATCCAGTGAAACAATTTTTTTTATTTCTTCTTTTGAAGATATATTTACAGTGTTCTTATGTACAGTATTAATTTTCGAAACGTGTCGAGTAAGAATACCCTGGAGAGAACGTGCTTGATCCCGGTTAACAGCGTTGATTCTCATCCAACGCAAAGGCCGTTAACCGGGTTTTGTAAATATTGGTGTACAGTAATATTTATGAGTGAAAGAAAAAAAATTAACGCACGACGTGATTTAATTCAGCCATTTTTTTCTTTCTGGAAAATCTTGCTGGTATGACAAAGTTTTTGCAGTGAATTGATATTTCTTCTTCCCGGAAAATATTTTACATGGTTGAAAGAAAAAAATCAAGAAATAAAGGCCGCTATCTGAGGCAAAAATACGTAGCACAATATAAATTTATTTCAGGGTGAGATGAAATCACGTTTGGATTTCATGTTTTCTTGACTGGGCAACTCGTATTTATTTTATATTTTTCTCGGTTTACCTTTGGGAATTAATTTATCATCTTTTTTCTTTCAGGGGAATTGTTTGACATGGGTTTTAGAAAAAATTTAGGCCGCTATCTGAAACACACACAAAATTCTCAGCAACCGTAGAGTGGAGTGTAAATTTATTTCAGGTTTAGAGGAAATTACGTTCGCCTGTATCTATTTTTTTTAATTTCTGAGAAATTATTTGACATATCGGTACTTTTATATCAGAAATTTAGGCCGCTATCTGAAACGAAAGAAATGAAAATCAACAATAAAACAGAATTTTATTAATTTATTTCAGGGTGAGAGCGAATCGCCTTTAAATTGCCATTACAGTATGTATTATTTGACAATAATATATTTATATTTTCTTCTCGGTTTTATTTTCGGAACGAAGTGAACACATTTTTTTTTTAACAATTTCATGCCATCAAAATTCGAATTCTCGTTCTTCTTATTTTTTTCCTTCGAAAGTGATTAATTGAATGGAGGTTCGGTCGGCAGTTGGAGTTTTCTCTTCCGAATGTGTGTTGAAACAGCTGTCGATGAGTTCAAGGCTTCTGCTGACGGGAAAGTTTGTTCGAAAAATAACGAACTTTTTTTATTTTATTTCAAACGATGACCTTGTGTTTTTTTCCTTGTGAGATAAATATTTTCGAATTTACTGCGCCTTCTTGCTTCTTTTTTTCGGTGGTTTTTAGGAAGGATACGACTTTTCCAAGTTTGAACGAGAGTCAAATGATCCATGAAATGTTAATTTTATTTGCAGGGATATTGAAAAAAAAGTTTTCCAATAACTTGAATTCTGAAGCAAAGTTTTCAAGGGAAAACGAGATTCACTCGAATACTTTATTGCGTGAAATCCCGTCTTTGTTTTCGTTCATCCTTCTTTTCGCGGGACATAAATGTTGATGCTAAAAATGATTTTAATCGATCAGAATTCGTTTATTTTGCCGATTTTATTTTAATTTGGAACAAAAACATGTTCGGTTTTGTTTTTGGAGATTTATTTTTGCACCGTCCCGCGAAATCCCGTATTCTCACATCCTTCCCTTTGGATAATTGTGATGGTAAAAATGGTCCCATCCGTCAAAAGTTAATTATTTTGAAGATTTCGGGGCCGATTTCTTTAAAATTTGAAGTGAAAAATGTTCTTTTTTGTGGGGATTAATTTTTCTTCATTTTTTGAGACTCCTAATTATCCAATTGTTTCCGAGAGCAGAATTTTTTTATCGCATGAACCAATAATGGAGGAATTATTGTAATTACTGAAAGTGAGACCTCAAGATGCGGACGTAATTGGTGCATCAAGAGTGTCCCTAAGTCGAAATTTCCCCAAGTCGAGTCTCATTTTCCCTTAGACTTACATTATATAATTTTTAATTGGTGTTTTATGTACAAAATACTCACCATAATTCCATGAAAATAAAAATTGTCTCCCAATTTAAACTGATTCCAATCAATATATTTCAACACAATATGGCCATTTGGGGAATTGAATACTGATACCTCTGTATACAGTACATAGAAATGTTGGCATTCTCTGTACAAATTATATTCAAGTGGAAAAGAGAGAAGGAAGTCCATCTCTGCTGGAGGTAATTTTTTCCAATTATCT